TTTTGGTTTTTTCAAACCTTGGCCGAATCGATGCCAACCATTAAAGAGAATTATCTCAAACGTATTTTGAGAATTCTAGTCATTTGAATTAATGTTGTAATGACTTCACTTAAATGGTATAAAAGAGAAAATGTGCATGGTCTATCTCGTAGATATACAATTTTTCTTAAAAGCTATAGAAGTGTTTAAAAACACTTTGAAAAGAGAGAGTGGCTATTCAGTTTGTGAATTGGCAGTCTTAGATAAGGAAGCACATAGATCTTTCACAAGATAATGACATTCTTATGTCAACTAGAGGTAGAATAAAATTATTTATCCGATAGATAAATATAATTAGCTATATGATCAAATTTTATATAGTTAGGTGAATATTATGTGGCTAAGCTAAATCTCACTAGAATTGTGGGGGTATGATTGTTATCAATTTTCAGATACACCTCAGAATTTTTGGGGGATGGCGTTGCTTTATTCAAATTAGAATATAGAGATATTCAATAATGTTAGATATGACGAATTATAGTGCAGTGAATACCTTTTTAAACTAAAGTTGCGCATAATGTCGAAAATTGGATATCCAATGCAAGGATTCAAAATGTATTAGTAAATATATTGTACTATTGAGTGTAGTTGTTTTGTAAAAATCCTTCATTCAATTTGAGAATTGAAAGTTTAAATAAGAGCTTTATATAAAGCTAGAAGAAATCATCATAGTTTCAAATTTTTTCAAATGATTTTCTAAATGATGATAACATGTACCTGTTATATGATTTAATCGAGATTGCTAACTATAAATCACATGGCATGGAATGTAGTGTATAATGGTAAGTCTTGGCATCTACATCGTAGACATAATATCATTTGACAATTACTTTTAAGTGGAATAAATCAATTATTTTATCGAAGGATAACATAACAAATATGTTTACAAATGGGCTATCTAGAGAGAATATACTACACATCGACAGAAATTTGTGTAAAGTCGAAACTAATAGATCAACTTAATGGAAACCTAACCCGGTGACTAGAGACTCCACTAACCAAGTTTAATAGGAAAATTAATTATGATTTACTCGATGAGAAGCACTTCGAAGTTTTAACTCCTATCAATTTCTATGATGCAAATAAGCTCACATTTGGCCCCCATTATTTCAAATTATAATTTTTAAAATAGTATTTTTTGAGAATATATGGTTGAAAAAGAAGGAAATATTTTTTATTTTTGTGTAATATTATTTTATAGAAGATTATGTGGTTGAAAGTAAGAGAGAGGAGGATCAAATTTTGAGATAATGAGGGCCAAACGGTGGCTAAGTGATGCCTGCCAAAGATTGGTAAGGATAAACTATGCTTTTAATAATAAATATTCTTGAAAATAATAGTACAAGTGGAGTATCATAGAGTACTTTTTATAGAACATCACCTATGTGAGTGCGAACTGATCGGTTGTATGAGAATTTAACTTAGGCTAATTCTCTAGTGCACTTGAAGAACCTAGAAGGTTTACGGCCGAAATAATGAACACAATAGAGAACTAAAGTTTGGTATTAGTGATAATTTGTTCGATCTATTAACTAGGTTTACATTAATGGCCGACGGTTGAAAACATTATGTTCACTGATAAGTCAAATGAGTCCGATAGATTTTTAATTAATAAGGATCAAAGCGAAAGCTACCAATCTTGATGCATTATATTTTAGTAGTACTCTTGCTTGTCTTCCTTTTTCCTAAGTTGAATTCCTCCAATTATGCAAGGATTGTTGAAATTTAAGGATACGTAAAACTTAAAATGTGTGAATTGAAAAAAGTCTCAATAACTGCAATGATTTGGTGCAATATTTAAGCGTAAAAGATGCATAACAAAAAGTTATGACATTTTGATAAGATGCAATCTAGACAATCAATCACAAAACAGTGCAAACTAATTTTTAAAATTAATTTGCACCAAAAATATGCGATCATTCGAAGAAACGCATGAAAATCTATAGATACGACCCTTCTAATTCCAATTTATTTACTGCAAATCAATTTCATATAACTAATTTTCAATTTTTTCCTTCTCCAAATTATGTCAAAATATTTCCAAATTACTTTTGAGTTTCGTATTTGGTATTTATTATTCTATATCTTCCATTTGAGAAAGTACAATCAAGTATTGGTTCGCCCGACAAAATTAACATTATGTTATACTAATTTTGGAAGAAGTTTCGTACCTTAGGAGACATAACTTCATTCGATCCAGTTAGCACTAGGGGGGCAAATCTATCTTGAAGAGATTTGTATTTGCATACATCGCTTCATTTCAACTACCTCTAATTTCTATGTTTCACTAAGTCTATATTTATATATTTTGCACGTGTGTAAGCCATATTTTTATCTGCTTGTTATATTATTGTATATATATAGATTGTATCATAGATCAGTTTATAAATTATTTTGTTACTTTTTATCTTGTCCCTGCACACAAGCATGTAAATATAAATCATCTTTATTATCATCATTTTTTACAACTTATGAGATCAAATTTGTAACGTGTTGACCTCTGTACTCAAACCGTTATATCATACTACGGTCTAGGTTCCAATTGGTATAAAAATTCAACTTAATGCTTTTATAAGGCAGATGTCTATAGTTCAAATCTTGAGGAACACAACTAAAAATTGTGAGAGGTAAAAGGATAGATCCTTTCACAAACAAAAAAAATGTCTATGATATAACGACTTGGACATAGAGGTCGTGTCGTTACTAAAACAAGCATTTTTGTAATGACATAGGTCTTATGCCCAAATTGTTCTCTTATGTACTATTTGCTTTGTGAGAGTATGGATTTCTATTGCGTTTGTAGGATTTGAACTGGCTTTAATTTTATTGATTGTAACACATAAATACACCCAAGTCCCTTCAACGCCACACACACACACTATGATTTTCAACTGAATATATATAAACGAAATGATTATAATAATTTTATTTAAAATACATAAGACATACAATTCATGACCAAATCCATGCAATCTCTTGACCGGGGTCCAAATTGGTGGTTGTACCATGCGGCTACTATCACGCCGCACATACCAAACGTGGCTTGTGCGTATACCTCAAAAATATAAAAATGGTTTCAAATGTTTCCACGTGAGGCCTGACCTCATTAAACATTGTGGAAGCTTCTTCCATCGCGACTCTTTCTTAGTTACTATTCGTATTTCCTTCCTTTTAAAAAAAAATTCTACATACTATTCAAACATTTACACAATAAAATATTTTATATATAAATCAACACTTTTTCCTAATTTTTAACCACATATTTTTCAAAAAATCAAAATTTAAAATAATTTTTTTCCCCAAAAAAAGGGTCATCAAACAGGGTACAAATATTATTTGACAAGTGAACCTTATGGATAATAATTAAATAAAAAAAATTCTTCAAGAGGGGGATGAGACGAGGTGAGCGGGCTTTAATTTTTAAAAATAATGTTATCTAACATCAGTGGTACTCACGGTGCTAAATATTATTAGTCAATTTTTAATATTAAAATGATGAGGATGGACACAAGAATTCTTTGGAAGAAAATGAAAAATTTAAGAGAATTTTTTATTTTTATTTGGTGGATTTGACTTCCACAATATGTGTTTAGGAGTATTATGTATATATTCAACATTATTAGATAATTTTGGAAGATATTATTTATGATGCACGTATCTGAATCTAATTATTTTGAGTATAAAGAAAAAGTAGACATTCACAAAACAATATTAATTATTTCCAAAATTAATTACTTGGAGGTCATAGGTTGCTCAAACTCCAAGGATGATTTTGTAGGGACAATTTTAGGCACAGTAACAAAAGAATCAGTTCTCATGTCAGAAGCCCTTTTGGGGATCTGGTGAAGTGGTGAATAAGGGGCCCCTACCTACTCAAACCAACTGTCTGGATTTATTAACTTGGATCATCATAAATTAAAAAAAGGATGGTAAATTAAAAAAGCCAAAGCCATTTGTATAAAAATTAAAACATTTTCATTTATTTAATATTTGTTGAACAAAATCCAATATCTAAAAATTATTTTCTTAAAAAATCTAAAAACATCGTGCAATGAATGTTGACTACGACTAAATAGAAATTATTGAAGACCGTCATTAATGGAAAATAGTTGATAATTGTCATTGATTGCGTCAATTACAAGAATAGGCGAGTTAAAAATAAGAACCATGCTACGATTACAGAAAAAACTTCCAGAACATTTACCGACACTCAAAAGGTAGGGGTGGGTGGTTTTTTTTTTTCATTTTTTATTCACGTAAGGCCTACCCGTATGAGGGTCTGTTAAACTTCTGGCAAATGAATAGTTTAATCCTAAAAATAATATAGTTTATGGACAACAACATCAATTGCCCAAAATTTGTGATCCACACCCGTCATATTCTTATATATCACTTGAATTATCACTAAAATTTAAATATTTATATTTGAAATAAAATATTTCTAAGGAAAAAATTATAACATGTTATTGATAACGAAATTATGCAATTTCAGCTATTTTTCTCGCATGCGGGATTAAATATGTGGAAATATTGCACATTTGGTACTCAACTTATTGATCCTATTGTGAGTTAATCACTATTTTATTATAATTGCACAATCGACTTCAATGACGAAATCGTTCATTGTGACCCTCACATGTCGAATTAAAAAACCTAATTTTGATACCTATAAATTTTAATAGATATAGGGTCTCAAGAGTATCACGTGACAATTTTTACACACCAATAACTGTTGTTCGGTGATCAACTTGCCTCCTTTTAAAGGTTGATGGTAAAATTGCTATTATAAAATAAGTTCGGGACTGATCGTACAATTTTTACAATTTGCTAACGGAAATTCTCAGAGTCTACGAGCGTTGGACATATTATTTATTTATTTAAGCCTACGCCACATTCTCTCCATTTTGTCTTAGAAAAACTTCTCCAGCTACTCAACAAAAGCTCCACCCTTTACCGGAAGCATGGCAGAAAAGTGTAGCAACCACAAGTACAAGTGGCGAAAGCGCCTCTGGCGGTGGTTCATCTGGATACTCATCATCAGCTTCATCCTCCTAGTGATCATCCTCATCGTGTTCGCTATTCTCCAGCCCAAAAAACCCCGTTTCGTCCTCCAAGACGCCACCGTCTTCAACCTCACTGTGTCGGCCGCTACCCCGAACATCATCTCCACCAGCATACAGGTGACCATCTACTCCCGGAACCCCAACGACAAAATTGGAATTTATTACGACAAGATGGATGTATACGCCACCTATCGCCACCAGCAAATCACTTATTTCACAGCTATCCCACCGGTGTACCAGGGCCACAAGGACGTAAACCTATGGTCCCCTTTTGTCCTTGGACAAAACGTGCCGGTGGCGCCGTTCAATGGTTTGGCCCTGAGCCAGGACCAGACTAATGGGGGCATAAAGATGGTGTTCAAGATTGATAGCCGTGTGAAATGGAAAGTTGGTTCGTTCGTCACCGGCCGATACCACCTCCACGTCAGCTGTCCGGCGTTTATACCGCTCGGAAACAACCAGAACACCGGAATATGGATTGGAAATGCTGTTAAGTATCAAATTTCTCAGAGTTGTAGTCTGAGTATATGACATCAAGATGATGAATTGTACATTTTGCAGATGAATAAAAACTGCAAATAGATGAAATCAAGGTGATGCAAAAGCAAAATTACAATTCTGTAATGATTGTAGACTTATTGTTAATTAATATATGAAAATTTATGCAATTATTTAGTTTTTTCTTTATTTGAAAGTCCATAAAAAATGTGATGTGTTTATATAGTATTTGTCCAATTCAATACTTCATAATATGGTTAGAAAATTAGATAGATGACGTCGAGAAGAAAAATGATTTAAAATATTATTTATTATTTTTTTTTTTTTTACAACTTACTCTGTCAACGACTCCTCCTTCTTTGCCAGCCGCTCGATTTCTTGCACCGCTTTTTGATGAACTTTCCATAAGGTTTCTTCTTTTTGTATTTTCCTGTAGAATTTCAAGTGATGTCAATGATACAAAATAATGAATCCGCTGAAGTTCATGTTCGAGACGAGAAGCCCCTATTATCGAATAGGATGGCAAAGTACTTGTCGATGTTGTTAGAGTTCGAGATTAGATAACTTATGTTACATTTATATACTCCATCACGGACAAGTCTTAGCTGGTGAGCTAGCAAACTGCCCAGTAGAGTCTAAGGAAAATGGGGATGCTGCGTTAGTGGAATTGTATTTGGCATTTGTTTAATTTTCAGTAGGAGAAAATGTGTATGTAATAGTCAATTATTTCATTGGTGTCTACCTCATTTGTCAATAGAAGTGTAGTGGACGGTCACGAGACAAAATGGAAGTCCACTTGTAGATAAAAATAATACACCACTAAAGGGATTGGAGACCTAATACAAGAGAAAAATATGTAGTTTAACACGATATTCTTCGCAATAATGGCCCCCAACAAGGTGGTTATAGCGTATCCCACGTGAAAAATTTATAATATCCACCAAATTTTACTTATAATAATTTTATGCCCCGTTTGTTTCGGATTAAAATCAGATTTTAATTTAAGTTAAAGTCAAACAATCAATATTAACCACATATTTCATGGGTCCCACACCTTTGGAACCACACATTTCAAAAACTTATATCACAATTTATTAGAAATCTAATTTTAATATCCACCAAACACCCAGTTAATTTGTTTGTTTGTAGTTGAACAACTTTCGCTTTACGGATATACCATCAATATTTGAAATGACTGTCGAGTGATTTGCCTACTATAGAAAAGATGTCGGCGATCGCGATTTAATGTTACTTTATTAATAAATTTTAAATGAGCAAAGGATTTTGTAATAGACATATTGTCACTGCGAAAAATATAACTAGCTACTGACCTGTGACGAATTTTTTTATTTTTATTTTTCATTAAAATCCAAAATGTTGTAAGAAATTTAAAAAAATGATTACGGTGGCTGTCATGGAAAATAATATTAAAAACAAATGATATTTTGTGTGTGTGTCTTTTTCAATTTCCCAACGTCTCTATGTAATAAATAATTGCATTATAGAAAAAGACAACCTTATCTTCTTTAGAGAAATACTGTCTTCTTACGCATGATTAGCATGCTTTACCTAATATATAGAACGAAATGATAGAAAAATAGAACATTCGATGTTTATTTGGTAGGTCACTCGACTTTTATTCTAGTCGTAATCGCTTCATTCAAATTCAATTTGATGCAATTAAGTCACTAAACTTTCACCTTAGCTGCAATCGGGTCACTAAGTTTTACAATGATATGACATTAATATGAATTTAAAATCCATTACTTTTAATCAGTTGGTATTGTAGATACACATTAACAAGGGCTAAAATCATTTATGTTGTAAAGATGTAGGAAAGTGTATCATGGCTGTTGGGTGGGATGGCATGATGATGACTTGATTACTCTAAATGAAAGTTTAGTGATCCGATTGCAACTATGATGAAAGTTCGATGACCTCTAGCGTCATTAATGTGTTGAATGGAATGGACACGTTGGCATTTCATTAGTTATTTCTGATAGGCACATTAACGAAATCCCATTGGAGTGATCTGATTGCTTTCAAATTAAAATTCAGTAGCTTGATTGCTCCAAAATGAAGTTCAGTGACCCAATTGACCAAGGGTGAAAGTTCAATGACCTCTAATATAATTAACTATTATTCGATATCAATTATATTTTTCAACTCTGTAAATGGTGTAAGTCAATTGAAATATCAAATTCAGCATGCCTAATTATGTTAATTTAATGGGAAAATTGCAGCAGAGGTTCCTAATCTTTTATTTTTACAGATTTTATCTGAACCTTCAATTTGTGCCAACGAAAGTCTCGAACCTTTGAAAAATTAACAGCAAATGTCCAAATAGATGGAAACCGTCCATCTGACAGTTAGTTGATCTGAAAAATTAATTTTATCCAAATATAAGAAGGGCAAAATGGTAACTATACAATTTTACATAAAATAATTAAAATAAAGAAAAGAAATAAGAAATTTGCCCCCAACTCCCAACTCCGCCTCCGCCCCCACCCTCACCCCTGCCTCCCAACATCCAATCAAAATCAAAATCACAATCACTATCGTCGTCTTTAATCATTGGCGCCAACTACTCCACCCATCCATTGCTACCACTGCAAACTACCATCACTGCCACCCCATCCCTCAACCAAAAATCAAACCAATGCAACACATCCAACGACTCAATTAGCCTTAAGAAGGAAAAAAAAAAAATCTAACTTGTTTACTACTGTTTGAATTCAAAAGTTATGAATCAGAATTTAAAATCCATTACTTTTAATTAGTTGGTATTGTATATACATTAACAAGGGCTAAAATAATTTATGTTGTAAAGATGTAGGATAGTGTATCATGGCTGTTGGGTGGGGTTGCATGATGATGACTTGATTACACTAAATGAAAGTTTAGTGATCCGATTGCAATTATGGTGAAAATTCAGTGACCTCTAGAGTCATTAATGTGTTGAATGGAATGGACACGCTGGCATTTCATTAGTTATTTGTGATAGGCACATTAACGGAATCCCAACGGCGTGATCTAATTAAATTCAAATTAAAATTTAGTGGCTTGATTGCTCCAAAATGAAGTTCAGCGAACCAATTGACCTAGGGTGAAAGTTCAATGACCTCTAATGAAATTAACCATTATTCACACAATTAAGTATTTTGTACGTAAATTTGAAACATTTTCCTACCTTTTAACCTCACATTCTCCCAAAAATAACTATTTCAAAATATTTTTTTTTTCCAAAAAAAAAGACTCATTAAAATGAATATGGACTAAATCTTGCCTTAGTGGACTGAAATTTTATCAATGCCGAACGTGACTCTTTCATCCCATTGCCCATGTAGGCAATTTTTATATCATTTTTTACTTGTGGAATGGCAAATAGACAATATCGTAATGATTCAATTGTGTTAAGGGATAAATTCATATTGGCTAATTATCGAAATATAGACCAACGTGGTTTGGACTTCTCTTCTTAAAAATATCTAACATTTTAAGATAGAACACAAGTCTTAATAAATTGTGACAAATGTTTACATTAGTGATTCTATTATTAACTTGTAACTGATAGCAAGAGACAACTAAAAAAAATGAAATTAACATTAATTTCGCTGGAAAAAGCAGTGAAACACCAACATATTCAACCCTACAATGTATAAAGATGCAGTAAACTCGAGTGATTGGAGTAACATGAGACTTTATAGACTTTTGAGTGTTCTTATATTTCGTTGGCTTAAGTGGATGCTATGTAAGACATTGATATAACATGTTAACTTCTTCATTTACAAAACGTTATCTTCATATGAGTTTTAATTTTTATACCAGTCAATTCAACATTACATCGGAGTCGAGAAGAAGGTCTCTCACTACAACAAAAACAGCATACGACAACGTTCAAAAAACGTCGCCGTAGGCCTACGGCAACGTTTAGACGTATGTTGCAAATCAAGGTGTTGCCGTATTTTATTTTTATTTTAAGGTAGATAAGTGAAACATATACCGAAGTATTGAGTTATAGATATAACTCGTCGGAAACCAATTTTACACTTTACTATCTATTCATTTTTATTTTTTTATCAGTGTCATGGACTGCAATTCATGACATGTAATGAGGATGCTCTATCAAGAACACTTTTGGCACGTTCAATTATATGAAATCATGGCAAAAAAATATATATAATAATAATAATAATTGAAATCGATTGGCACTAAATTAGATTTTTAAAAAATGAAAATTAATATGTTATACCGCCCAATGTATTCAATTCTATGGGCTCATCACGATATTCAATGCGTAATCAGAAAATAACCGTTCACCTAAAAGAATTTGTATTTATCTACGTAATTAAAGAGAAGCGAACTTTTCAGTCATAATTGTTAGCTCGTTGATGAATTGATGAACTCTAGCATGAGAGGAGGACAAAAAAGTTGCAGGTCGAGAAACTACTGACCTTTCAGAATATCTTAACTTGTCACTCACCATTACTCATTCCGATTAGGCTGAAATGTTCCCGATTCAGGCCATCATAAACGAAGTAATATCGCGAAAAGACAATTTATTGACATATAACATAATATTTATGGATACCAAACTAGAGACAAGTACCTAAATTGCCTAATTACCTAAAGCCAAGTACAAAGGCAAGAAAATATTATTAAAAATAAAAATTATTTTTTGTAAATATTTCATGAAAAAGAAATTCAAGAAGAGGAGGGAGGAGGATATTGGCTAGAACTGGTCCATGCTGATGCAGGAAAACTTGTGCCAGTCGATTGATTTCCTTGTGGCCGGAAATTAACTGGTTGTCCACCGGAAGATGATGCAGAAGAAGCATAAAACATCTGATCCCACGAATTCATGGGGAAATCATCACTGCTTTGAAGTAATTGCGAGTATTGCCAATAATCCCAGAAACTGTTATCAGGGATTTGGGAAGGCTGTGATTGCATGAATGCTGGAGGAACTGCCACCGTCAGTGGCGGAGGAGTGACGGTGATAGGTGGTGATGTGGTGACAGGAATGGCGAACTGTGTGGACTGTGAGAAATGGTGTGGTGGCAAATTCATCACATTTTCAGGGAAATTGAGTTTTGCTCTGTTGCCTCTGAATCTCAGGGCGGCTTCATCATATGCTCTGGCGGCGGCCTCCGCCGTCTCAAATGTTCCTAACCAGACTCTGGCGGCTTTGTGGGGATCCCTTATTTCTGCTGCCCATTTACCCCATGGCCTCTGTCTAACTCCTCTGTACCTTCTTCTTGTCTCTCCTGTTTCTTCATGTGAACCAACAGACACTTCTGTTTGTGGAACTTGCTCAGCCGCGGAGGTGGCGGAAGCGGAGGCGTTATAGGTGGCGGTGGGCCTTGCCTTAGGTCTTGTAATACTAGTTCTTGCATCTATCTCTGCAAAAATACAAAATATACATGCAACAATAGTACATAAATGAGAAATGAAATCAGGGTTTAAATTAGGAATTAATTTACAAACCAGATTTGATAGAAGAAGAAGATGATTCTCCGAAGCCTCGATGAACGCTGTGAAATTGTTCTGGAACAATATCTTCTGCATCACGTCTTCTCTTATGGCCAGAAAATGAAGGCAAATTAGACGAATAAGTATCCTCAGAATCTCCACCGCATCTCCGCCCAGATATGACATGCGTCAACGCCGTCACCATCGCCGACCTCTCTCTGGACTGGCTGTACTCGGAAAACATCCGCGGCTGTGGTGGTGGATTCCGTGGCTGCATCCCACAGAATAGATAATTCGGTTGTTCTTGTTGTTGCATTTGGTAGTGGGGAACATGATGAGAGGCGGCGGCTGAGACCGTGCCAGTGGTGGTGGTGGTTTCTGGATTCGCCATCTTGAATAAGAACATGCACCAAAACCCAGATATTTTTCTTTTCAAAAAAAATTCAAACTCCGAGGATCGAAAGGATTAAATTTTGCATGAATAATTCTCTCTGAAATGACATGCAACGAGCTAGCTTTAATTAATGCTTGAAAAAAAATTTAGAATATTTCTTCAGCAGCTATCGGAAGACTTTCTTTTCTCCATTTTTTGAGTAAATCGTCAAAGAAAATCAATTTAACAGAGAAATCAATTCAAATTTGTATGGCCGTCAATGAAACAGTGCTTGCTCTGTGTATGGTTTCTGCAAAAGGTGCTTAAATACGGTAATTGTAAGTAATTTCGAAAGGAAAATAAAATGTATTTTGTTTCAATGGAAAAGATAAATATGATGCCAACGAAACATTTTATAGAGCTGCAATGAAGACAATTTTCACACCATTTGAGATCTGGCAAAATTATATGCGTATGCCCTTTCAGGCTCGTTAAGGTGCATTTGGTTTCTAGTGTGTGTGTATGTGAGAGAGAGAGATCATCTTTTAATTGAGTCATATGCAAAGAAATGGTAAAATAAAAAGGCTAGAAAAAGTTTTTAACTGCAAAGTCATGGAACATAATATGTCTTTTATTAAAAAGAAGGAAAATTCATAACCACAAATGCTTCAAAATGCAATTTCAAAAATAACAACCTCAGGAAAGAAAATCTGAAAATCAGGTGGTCACATTTTGTGATTTCTGATCAAATGTTGTGACCTATTATTCAATTTATTAAATATACAATGATCACAATAACACACGATTTATGGTCACGATCACATACTAAGCACAAATCACAGGATAAATCTATATGTACATAATTATTGTACATAATGGATTACAAAGGCCCATGTGGAAGAAATCTTGCCGTGGGTGTGAAGTGTAGAAAAGTCAAAAATTGTAGACTACCAATGAATGCGCACCACATGTCAATTATGTAATGCATTACGTAAATAATTATATACTTGTAGCATGGTCCAATCACACAAGTCACCATCCACAAGACACAATATGACATATTTAATTGTAAAATTATATATTTAATATGTAAATAATTATTATGAGTCACAAATTATCTAATTAACTGGTCACATAACACCCTACCCCACCTTACCGTCGCACCTGTTGTCTATCTTTCTTCATCGATTTCTCCTCCGCACATCATCATCGACAACCACTACTCCTCCCGCCAAGACTGGATATAGCACCCCACCATCACGGACGATGATGACTAGGCAAGCAGACCCCACGACACCTACTATAGGGATTTGTTTGGAACAGAAAAGCAAACTATAGCACTAATTGCAATAATACCTACTGTAGGGATCTACTCGGAACCTCCACCGTACAATGGTAGCTATGCACTGATATGTGTTCCCCATTGCTCTCACTCTCGAATCAATTATTCATTTTATTCCACTCACTCTCTCTCTCTATCATATACAAAATTCATCTCGTAAGTACCAACACTTAACTTATGTTAAGCATCGAATCACATGGCACACTAATTAATATAATGGGAGATAATTGGGGGTCCAGTAAAATGATTAGATTTATTGATAACTAGTGTGTCGTGTCATTGTGTGCTTATCGTGTTTAGGAGATCAATCGTATATATATCACACACTCATCAATTTGATTTCGATGATGATTATGTGTTGTCAAGGGAGATGCTGGAGAGGGCGACCGATCTGCAAGGTTGGGTTTTTGTCAATGACACTTTCATCAATTAAGGATGGTGAAGATTTTGGTATGGAGTCATTGTCTGGTACTGGTAGCATTGTAGGGAATATTAGGAAAAAGAGTCGGGTGTAGAAGTGGGTGGGGTGTTGTGTAGTGGGATTACACTGATTTTGAGAAGAAAAAAAAAATTACAACTTGACTTGTGAAGTTGAAACTTTAAATTTAGGGTGTGAGGTAATTTTTCCAGATTTTTCCTTTAAAAAAAATTAATCAGACAAAATGAAAATAAATGTAGTGTCTTTTATCAAAATGCTTTCTAGGCAATTTAGGTGAAATTATTGAGGACTAGAGAGTCTAACATAGGCAACAACCTATGCAAGAATTAGCAATAAAAAATAATTCACGCTTCCCATGTGGATTGACAATAAGGATTGAAAATTCTGGAAGTAATCTCAGAAAGTTTCTTTTATTCAAAATCTACCGAAAGATAAATCTTGAGAATAAACGCTTTTAAGTAATATCAGAAAAATAAAATCCTATAAAAGAACAAATGAAAAAAAAATAACCATAATGAAATTGAATAATTGTTCATTAACTTAAAGAAAATAAAATAAATTAGCCAGGACTCAAATGGACTCGAACGGGCACAATCCACCCACGATCTTTATGTTGGTTTAGTCACTTCTTTCCCTAAAGTTCATATTGGTCCAATAGATCCTTATAGGTTGCTATCATACTCTGCATTTCATCATTTCCCTCGGGATCATTGCCGGAATTTTCAAGGGGTTTATCAGAAGCAGAATCATCGAAAAATGGTACCAAGTGCTTTACACTGAAACATCGACAATGTGAATGTGGCTGTGAAGCTTCGAGCAAATATATGTTCGAGTTTATGTTCTCTATAATCTCCAATTGAACAATTCTGCGGGATGAAATTGAAAACAATACAAACTAAGCCCCCGTTTGATGCATATTTTTGGAAAAAGAATGCATTTTTACTGTTGATGTGATAGGAAATATGTGGTTGAAAAAGAAGGAAAAGTTATTGATGTGATAGAAAATATTATTTTATTGAAAAACGTGGGGTTGAAAATGAGTAGAAGAATGAGAATGAAAAAATTAATGTGGGTCAAACAGGGCCTAAATTGATAAATCAACCAAAGGAGGAGAAGAATTAAGAATTAAGAGGAGGAGAAGAAGAAGATAACATATTATTGAGCCACCAAAAGATTAGGTTTTCAATGAAATACACAAATTTATATATTACAAAAAAAAGTAAACAAAAAAGGAAACCTATAAAAGAAAGAAACTAAATATTATGCAATAATATTATATAAGGTTAACATTCCCCCTCAAACTCACGATACTACAGCAAAAAGCAACGAGAGTTTGTCAATTAAGAAGCAAAAACGATGAACTATATGAAACTTTGTAAAGAAGTCAACAAGCTAAAACGATAAAGAAACAAAAGGTAGAGAAATAGCATCAGTCTGCAATGATGGCTAATCGGATGATACTGAATCTCAATATGTTTCATGCACTCATGGAACACAGAGTTGTAAGAAATCTGAATAGCACTTTCATTATACATGGAGTTTGAGAAGATCAAGAAACATTCATGTCTGCAAGTAACCAATGCAACCACACAATTTCAGTGGTAGTGGATGCCATGACACAATACAATGCCTCAGTAGAGGAATGAGAAACAACAGTCTTTTTCTTAGAGATAAGGGAACCATTCAAAAATATACAAAAACCAGTAGTGGACTTCCGATCGGTGGGGTCGCTGGCCCAATCAGCACCAGAGTGGGCATAAAGCATTAAAGAAGAGGTCGATGAAAATAAAAGACTCTGAAAGAAAGTACCACGAAGATAGCTCAAAATACGAACAACAGCTGCCCAATGAACTGTAGTAGGAGTCGGAACAAACTGACTAATAATGTGAACAACATAAGCAATATTAGGACGTGTGATGGTAAGATCAACCAGACATCCAACAATGGTGCAATATAGAGTGTGATCAGTCAAGGGTACATCGTTAGAGGGTGAGTATTGAGAATTGGATGCAAGAGGAGTATCAAAAGTTTTAGTATCAGTAAGACAAGCATGCTTAATAACATCCATGGTATATTTAGACTGAGAGAGAAGATAACATCTAGGAGAAGACACAACTTCGATCCCAAAAAATAAGATAATGCTCTTAAGTCCTTCATTTCAAAAATGTACGCAAGAAATACGATATGACGAGAAACATATAATTTTTTATTAAAGGGATCAAAACAGCAATAACATTTTTGCCCTTGCCCATAACCCAAGAAAACACAGATAGCAGAGTGAGATGTCAACTTATTATGTTCAACTTTAGGATAAAGAACAAAGGAAGTACGGCCAAGGACTCTTAATAAGGAGTAATCGGGATGATGCCTATACAATATTTCAAATGGTGATAAACTTGAAGTGTAAGAAGATGGATCTTATTAATTAAAGAAACAGCAGTGTGAACTGCTTCTTCCCAAAATTCACTGGGAACTTTGGCAGACAAGATAAGAGAACGAGCAGTTTCTACAATGTGCCTATACTTTGGTTCAGCAGCATCATTTTGTTGTGGGGTATTAGTACACAAGGTTTGATGAATTGTGTCATCCATCCAAGTTACATCTAAAGCACTTAATTACAGCATAATGTTGAGTTTTAATAAGTACTCTAAAAGAATGATAAATAGAAAAAAGTTAGATCATTGTTTCATAAGATAAACCCAACAATAACGACTATAACAATCAATAAAAGATACATAATATCTAGACACTCTTTTTGTAACAATAGGAGCAGGTCTCTATACATCAGAGTGAATAAGATTAAATTGTGCAACAGACTATGAAACACTTCGAGGAAAAGTTAAAGTGGAAAATTTAGCTAATTTGCAACCACTACAATCAGAAATATCATGAGTTTGTAAATCTCTCAATTAAGACCCTTCGAAACTAAAAATTTCAAACAATTAGCAGAAATATCTCCAAGGCGAGAATGCCACAAATAAAAACTAGAAGATGATGAATTCAAACTAAAAGATGTCAAGTGAACACCAAAAGTTGCAACGTGTGGTGGTCTCAGATTGTCCAGAACATATAATCCCTTTTATCTACGACCTATCCCAATTAGTTTCTGAGATTGAGGATCCTACACATGACAAGCAGTAGAAGAAAATTGAACTAAGTATCTCGAATCACACAATTAGCCAATAGAAATAAGATTCAAAGTAAGAGCTGGAACACAATAGACATCTGAAGGCGATTAAGTATCCAGAATCACACAATTGGCTAATAGAAATAAGATTTAAAGTAAGAGTTGGTACACAATAGACGTTTGAAAGAAATAAATTATATGTATTAATATAATCAACACCTGCTAAAGGCAATAGTGGGCCATCAGCAGTCATAACAGACATAGATGACATGTATTTTGAAGCACCTGAGTCAAGATCTATAAGGAAGAAATACCTAAATGACTCTGAGGCTGACATCGCATGTGGCAGTGTGGCTAAGAATTTCTAAAACTGCACTGCTAAATCAGTCAACATATTAGTGGAGGAAGGTGGTGCTCCAAGTAGGGGTAGGCATGGGTTAGGTTGGGTTGGGTCAGTTTTTGTCTCAACCCAAACCCAACCCAACATGATGGGTTTTATCAAATTTAACACAACCCAACCCGTATAAAGGTTGAAACCCAATTCAATCAAGTATCGGTCGGGTTGAGTCGGGTTGGTCGGTTTCTGACGACTTGTCAACAAAAATTAAAGTCATCTAATTTTCTATTATACTAAATTCGAATAGACAAGATTAAATTGTAAGTAAATAAATAAATAAATAAAATCATCTATTATCTTATTCAATCCTTATTAGCCAAGTTTACAAAGAACAAAGTGCATTCAACATAATATGGAAAATTTATACTACATTTCTTGTGGGAAGAATAGTAAACTCTTCCTCTAAAATACACCATGGTAATTACAATTACATTATCTACTTATATTTTTTAGGTTTCTTTTACTTTTCTAGACATTTTATTGCTTTTCTTTTTCTATTTTTTAAAGTGGCGAGTTGGGTTGGGCGGGTTTATTCGGTTTTCATGAGTTAACCCACCCAATCCATGTAAAAATAACAAAAAAACCGACCCAACCCGGTCGGGTTGGTTCGATTTAGGCGATTTGGGTGGGTTCGGTTGGGTTTTTCTATCCCTCGGGTTGGTTCGGTTTGGGCGGATTCGATCGGGTTTTGTCCACCCCTAGCTCCAAGTATAGACGAGTCACTAGTGGCATGGTGGCAACTATGTTAGCATTGGGACAATAGGATCACTATTGTGTTTGTGGCTTGTGCTTCTTCAATAGCTTAGGCTTTGAGACTTCCAGTGTCCCTTTTGTTTGCAAAAGTTACAATCATCACTAGAAACTCTCAAGTAACCTTTGTTCTAATTCTGTGTAGATGGTCAAGAGAGTACATC